TTCACGGGCTTCGTGAAATATACCATTATTATTATTATTATTATTATAGTGTCCACGGTCAACGATTACCTTTTGTTCTAAGACTGCATTGTTATTCTAGCCAGTATTCCAAATCAAGTTATCGAACAATTCCTTACCGGTCATCCTGGAAACAAGTGTATGAAACCCAGGGCAGGAAGTTACGTTTATGGGCCTATGTTGTGGCTTGCAGTAGACTAAAACGCTTACCGCGTATAGCATGACTGATCGATTGGTGGATGAAGTCTGCCAACACACGCACCCACACCTCGGGGCTTACTCTATCACAAATTCGATCAACTTCAGCGAATCAAATGTCAGTATTGATCTGGCCGCATTGATTGGTGCGTTAACTGCCCAACTTGACGACATCCTGTGCCAGTTGTTGGTTTGAATAACAACGCCTCGCTAGTTGCCAACAGTTTCACATTACAGTAAGGCGTTGTTAATCAGACGAGGTCATCCGGCTTTGTGCGTCTAAAAGTTGTTAATACAATCAGTCGTTAGTTTGCGTGCTCATGGGTTGACCCCCTGCTTTCTTAGTGGACTGCCCATCGGTTACATGTTACTAGATAAACAACTTAATTCGCTGCTTACTGGTCTATTTGTTTAAATGGGGCACAGCATTTTGTATCGTGGACAGTGAATCTGCAAATGACTGATTGTTTACATGCCCCCAAGCAATTCTGGGATGATCATGTCACAAAACCTTCTGTGGAAGCATGAAATGCTTGGAACACTATTTTTACAGATTACTTGAACTTAGTGTGTGTTGCACCAAACCGCGGAAGATAAGATCAAATTAATTTGCAGGAGGAATTCCTCCCCCATCATTTTATCATCATCATCATCATCATCGTACAGCGTCGTACAGTGAGGCGAACTTCACTGATCGCTGCTAAACTCGCAACTCATTCAAGGTTAGTGGTAAAATTTAAGGTGGACAGGAATTGGACCTATTTTGAAGGAAGGGGAAGAAGGTGAACTTCTGTGGTCAACACACAGAAAGCACAATCGAACTCTGCATCATTTGGGCCAGCAGGGAGGCGGATGTTTGAAACACTTGAACTGAAAGTCAAACAAAAGCTACAAAAAGCCTTTTGTGCATTGAACAAAGTTTGGGTCGTTCATCCTAATATATTCCTTTCTCGATGCAACTTTTGTATGCTGAATTAAGCTCCTAGCAAAGATTTGCGCACGTTCATTGTCCGGTTACTGGGCCCAGCACGTCCCTGTGAATACGGTTCCGTGCCGGCGGACAAATTTTTGAAAACAGTTCTCATTCAACAAATGATTTTCGGAAGGAACAAGCAGGAAATACGTGAGGCATTGCTGGACGCCGCACAACTAATGCGGGATCGTGGGCTCGGGATAAATGGGACTAAAAACTGCAATTGGAAATGTTCCGTTCAGATGCTCAGACTTCTATATCCCAGATAAACGTTTGTCATCGTGATTGCACTACAGCAAACCTTCATGTATGTTTTCACTGTAGAAGTAAAAGAACAGACTGTACAAAATGTCCATCCAGCATTAACATCAAAGTGTGTCTTCTGCAACAAAGCAGGCCACTTTGCTCGTGTATGTCGCGCACATTCTGTTTGTGGCATTCGACCCTCATTAAAGCTATCTAACTGCAGTAGAGGTAATATTGAACATATACACAGGTCTTTCCTTTCAATTCGATGAAAAGCAGAAAATCGATAAAAAGCACATTATTTCTTCCTTACAAACTGGAGGTTGTAATATTTCAGCTAAAAGCCTAATCATAAGACAACTTTGATCCCGCGCACACCAAGGAACGCGATTAGAATCTTTCGTGCAGTCCGTTATCCGGCGAAGGATCCGGTCATTTCCAACCCCGTCCTCCTCCTCTACGTGTACACTTAATTTCATACGTCCGTGTTCGCCCGGTGAAATACAACAAGCCCCAAGCAAGAACTCAAGTCCACTCCTCGCAAGTTTCGGAAACAATACGAAAAGATGACCGAGACGAAAACGTGAATTCGTGTCCCCCATGTAAGCTGACCTGATAATAAAATCCTACTGTTCAACTTATTGTAGAAACTGAGACTGAATTGAGAAAGATAAAAAAAGAAATAAAGCTGGATTAAAATAAGAAATATCTATTTTCCTTGAATTTCTCCGCGTATTTTTCGGAGAGTCAAGGACGGGATTTGAATGGTGGGTCATTGTGTCATTCTCACATCGTCGATTTCTCCATTATATGTGAGTGCTGTAGCATAATCATAGAGTATAATCGGAATCTCGTTCCTTAGTTGTGTTCTCTATTCCTTATTGATGTTAGGGGCCGAGCAAGAAGCGCCCGTTTTGATCGAATGCTTAGGCCGACCATAACTATATATGCACTGATCAGCATTCAAACTATGCCGATCAAACATTGGTACAAAAGTGTTGAATAACGGTGTAAAAAGGAAAGGAAATCTGCGTGATTAACGGAGTCATCGACTCTATCACACAAGATTTTAAGTTTTGAGCTTTCGGTAAAATGCAGCCAAGAGACAGAAAACGAAACAGCCCCACCACTACTGCCGGTTAGGAGCCATGTCGTTTAGAGTTTCTGACTAAAGATAGATTGTCACGGTGAGCGATGTTTGCCGAGACAGGTAGCGGTTGGAAAAAAGTCAAGGGCAGTCAAACGAGGACCTGGGATGAGGGTATGAAAACCCTAAACAGGAGACCGGTGACATAGGTCCCGTTAGACTCCCTAACTGGGGACCCCGAGGTCATGATCACCGATGGTTAGAGGAACTGAGTGATACGGCTGGGTAACGCAAACAGTGGCGTTCATGCATCTACACATTATTCTTGTAACATCAGTCTATATAAATTTTCTATATTCCGCTTGAATTTACTCTCAACTTCAATCTTCATTCTACTCTTTCATTCAAATGGGTAACCAAAAGACAGCAACGAAAACCGGCGCACGAAGGTGCATGGTTAATGGTTGTAAGAACCGAATCAATTCGACTGAAGAAATTCAGGATAATTTGGGCCGAACCTGTAAGTCGAGACGTATATACATACACAAGGGGGCGTTTGTCAGCTTCATCCTTCTTCTTCATATCAAAGACTGAATTCCATGAAATTTCTTCAAACCGTGCCCAGAGCAGGAATAGAGTGCGTAGTGGCGACTGCTAAGTAGATTTTCTCACCAATTTACCAAGACGTTGTAAACGGTACAGTGGGATGTTTATTCTAAGCGGGAAGCTTCCAGGGCCTGGCACTCTTCAGCGCACTGGATCATTGCTCACATGATGCTCCCCTCAAAAGCGATCAGTTGTGTGAAGACAACGGTTTTCTGTCAGTTCCAAGTGATACAAGTGGTACAAACTGATCAAGTTTCCAAGCCACACGATGATAGTGTTTTTACTGTGGTGCGTTACATGGGATCTTTTAAGCAAAGCCGGTGTCATGCCTGCTCCACAGATGTCCTACATAAAATATTGAGGATACAGTAGTGACATATTTGTTTTAAATAATCAATTATACCAATGTCACTCTATTTTCTTCGCAAGACTGAGGCCTTAATCACAAAGATACAGCAAAGAAATAGCAAGATTAAGACAGGAAATACCTATTTTCCTTGAATTGCCCTTCGTATTTTTCTCCATTTGGATACAGAACAAAACCGTAACCCTCGATCTTGTCACTGACCCATGAACCGGAGTAACATAGGTAGTTAAATTTTCCCAAATAGTTCTCCGGTTCTCTCTTACTGGATGCATCTTTGTCCCAGTCCAAGTTCGATTTACTCTTCTCACTGATAACCTCGGTTGGTTCAGGCGGTTTGAACGCATCTCGAAACGCTCCCAAGTATTTACCCTCGCCATTTCTCACAATGCCCTGTCTGCTTTGAGTATAATGTCCTTCGTAGTAATCACCGTTGGGGAAAACAAAACGTCCGAACATGGAATAATCTGAAAATGAGAGGATGGGTATCAACAGGAACTATAAGCATCAGCAATAAACAAGCATTTATTAAAAAAAACTTACAAAAAGTAAACTGCAACTGAATGCAGTGTGTTCCTATAGGTTGTAAGCTTGACTGTTGGCATTCAGAGATGGGAGCTACCGAACGGCCTGTGGAAGTGGCCCCGGTCTCTGACATTCCGTGATTCTCGATAATCTGACAGATATCAGGCACAGCAAACAACCAGTTACAAAAGAAAAGACCATATTGCAATACCGCACGATTTATGTTCAGGACGATTTCGCTGTATTTCAACATGGTGCATACCGCAAAAAACACAATACGCCAACTCTGATCTGATCTACCAATTCCAATGTGGGTGTGGAGCGACCTACGCGGGTGGAACAGAGCCACAATTACGTAAGCGGGTCACTTAACATATTCCAAGCTGGGTCTAAAGTCAGGTGACAATCGGGGTCAAGTCCACGGTATAGAAATAAAGGTTGAAACTACAACGCTCCGTCATCAGCCATAGCTCGACATTTTCTGATGATGCAACACCAGATCAATCAAAGCACGGCGTTTCGGATTATTTACAAGTCACGAAATACAAAGTTGTTAGGGTTTGCAGAAGTCATTGCTATCAGCCGCTGGAAGCCTCCTTGTGTCAACAAAAAGAAAGTTATGTTAGTTTGCCCTTACCCTAGTGACATGGTTCTTTTACCCATCCCCTACTTCATATTTGTCTGTTTCATTGGATTTTACTTTTCTTTGTTGTCATGCTGTATCTTTGTATAAATATTGTGTTTTCTGCAGTGTGCACTATGTTGAGATACAGCAAAATCGTCCTGGACATAAATCGTACAGTATTTCAATATGATCTTTTCTTTTGAAATTGATCTGGGAGAAGGCTTGTATCAGTTTTCTCAAAAAAACCAGTTAGTTAAGAGAAAGTTTATGGCTCCGTCAAAAGTACCAGAAGTTTAGCCTGACTATACTCGAGAGTATCTGAAAGTGAAAAGCTTAGCGCGCGCGAAGGTGCAGCGCTGAATTCACTCACCGTCCGAAGTGATCAAACTTCGCCCGAGGTGGTCTGGACACACAAAAAGACTGAAGACTTGGCTAAAGAAGCAACATTGGGATAGTAATAATCCTGATAGACTCTATGCCGGAAAAGAAGAAGACAGAACGAGTGAATGCTCCAAACAATCCATGCGCGCTACCATGCAAACAAGTATACATACGGAAAAGGCAGATCAAAGATGAAGATAACTCTAGAGCGTGTTACACTGTCGATCTGAAGCCATTACAAGATTGTGCAAAATATTAAAGTTAATCAGTAGAAAGACTAATCAAGTTATCACTAAGGTCCTCAGCATTGTCCTTAACATAGATCAGATTGTTCAGTTGTGGGTGTCGGATAAAAGAGCTCATTCATCTTTTGTACGTTCTCAAAATGTTGTTAGGGTGTTTTGATGAAATATCCTTGACAACTCAAAGGCTACGACATAGTAAATTGATAGACATTCGACCGAAAAAAAACATTAATATTCAGCATTTTCAACACTTATTAGGTGCAGTCTCCATCAGTAAATTCAAATAAAAGGATGAATGATAGTCGTCCTCATAAACGAGCAGTGAAATGCCGTGAATCGAAATTTATTTTATCGTTGTAATGCTCATAGTATCTAAGCTGAATGTTTGTTATTTGACATGGATGTCATATAGATGATTATTATTCTGATGATGCTGATTATGACATTCATGATAGCCCGCTTTTCTGATATCTGGCTCAATACCATGCCTTACTCAGCGGAGCCCTTTGTGGTTTGCAGCTGCATGCCTTGGGCCTTAGGTTTCCAGTGTAGTGAAGACACGAGCGAAGCCATTTTGAATTGAGTGTGAATCGTGTGCATGTCTGAATGGACCTTTTGGTTCATGGTTGCTTTTTGTATTTTACCTATCTAGCAGGTCGTTTGGAAGCTCCCTCCTGGGAGAACCTACCGTGAGATGTGTGTCCTACCTGTGTATTGAAAACGTTGGTGAGCGGTCGGGGATTGTATGCGACCTTTTTGGGACGATGAACTCGGACTGCGTTGTCCGGAGTCCGGAGTTTTGAGTGGATTCAGAGCTGGGGTCGCTCTTGCATACTACACTGGGTTCCATTAATGAACAGTAGAGTTTCGTGACTGTGGGACCTACCCTGTCTGATGTTCACTACACAAGGTTGTGGAATAGTAAAAAAACTTCTAGGCGAACCACCTAAAACTCCGACGTTATTATAGATGAAAAGCCATTAAAAGAAGATTATAGATACATGTGGGCTTAGGAGAACTCCTACTTGGTCAAATAGGTGCCATCAAGCCTACCTGGCTCAAACCAATGAATGATGGAAAATATCAATACCCGAAATAATTGGGCATAGCTCGATTGTATTGCCTAAAATCTGAGATGCTGTAGCATCAGAGTTTATACACCGCAACACCACCATATTAACACCCCATATACTATTTTATTTTATTCCTTTAATCCCGGATGACCTATCATAATGCATAACTAACACACAACATTTATCAAAAGTGCAGGGTAAAACAAGCAAACAAACGTTGTCATTCATTTTCTCTAAATAAAGTCACTATTTTCTTTCCGTATTGTTCTGTTCGGTATCCCAATCCTCCGTCTTGCTCACAAGCCGAAAATATACATTTCACACTGAGTAGTATATGATTGACCACACAAAATTACCCTGGAAACACACGACCGGTTTTGCGGTTCTTGCCGCTCGTCAGGCATGCGTATCGGGTAATCTTTTGTTTGTGTATTCATATAATTGTACCCAGGAAATGTATTCTCGTCAAAATACTCTTGTTTGCAACACCGGATGATTGTTCGATAGCAAACTATTTCAGAGCGAGTTCGTATATATATATATATATATATATATATATATATAAGATAAATTTATTGTTCGAGACCATCAAAATAATGAACAACGGTGGAGTGGTGGTTTGCAGCATTCTAATCAGGACACTTGCAGGATTCCCTGAAACTGGAACGCAAGCTGTTGTGCAACAAATACTGCTATTTGATGCTAAATAACCACATTTTTATGATTCAATATTTGTAGATGCAAATGCTATCTAGCATATGAGCGTTGATGGCCGGGGATTGTGCCCGTGATAGAACTAGATTATTGATTTCGGAAAAACCTATTTCTAGTATCAGCTGGCGGGGTGTCAACGGAAAGGAATCCCTGATCAGTAGTGAGACTGTCAGTCTAATCACTGGTAAACAACTTAACTACTTTGACATTTTTTCATACTCCGTAATGCGACATAACTTCCGGGATGAAAGCATAAAATATGTCACAGAGCGGATGCAGAATGGTGGTTCATCGAAATCTGAGGAACGGGTTCTAACAAGAAAGCAAATTTATTATCAAATTGCATTGCTTTATTATATAGCTATTTCTCAAGCGCATATAAAATCCAATTTCCAAACCCTAATTTCAGATCGGACCACATGCCCAGAACGAAATGAACAACCTGGAAAAAGCTGATAATCTCTTCCTTCCCTCTTTATGAATATCGTGATAAAATTTTGTACACTTTAAATGGTATTCTATCAAAAATATGAGTTTCGAAGAGATTATTACGTTTGATAGACTCGGAGACTGAGTTCACGCAGATGTTAAGTTACTTAGCATTTAGTCGCCAGAGCTAAATACTGCTTACTATAGTACCCATTGTCAAAAGGAGTTTAAGTGAATAGTGTTAGTGTCAAATTTCTTATCCGTCCATCAACGGAATATCCCTCGAATGTGTCAGTTTAAATGCCCTCAACCAAAGGGTCTACCACAGCTGGATCTCATTCTGTTACAAATCAGACGCGTTAGGGGCAATTTATTCCTCCTTCATCATTATAATCAACACGTGCATTAAAAAACTTTCACTTTTGCTGACTTCAACTCTACTCAATGTCATAGCAAGAAAACATTTAAGCCTTGCTCGAAAGCTAACTCTATGGCTTTATAGAACGCCCACCCCGAAGAAATCGCCTGTTTGAAATTTGAGGAAGAAGAGACTTATTTAACAGGTTTTTAGCAAGTTCATTTTTAGTCATAAAATGAACTCGTTTCCAATCAAGCTAAGCGTTACAAAGAAGAAGATAAAGGCGCCAAAATTTATGTCAATTAGAGAAGCCAAGAAGTTACTGCTGGATCAATTGAAGCTGTTTTCCTTAGCTAATGCTCGGACTTTGGGTCGATTATTGAAGTGTACAGTTGATTTAAACAGCGCGTTTTTTGAGTTCCAGAGGAAAACCAAACTGATACAACTGAGGATTTGTGATTTTGCTAAAAATACATCTTTGTAGTCTGTAAAGGTTTTTTTCTGCAATACTGCGGGGCGCTCGAATAAATTCAATAATGTTAGTCACCAAGGCCATGGCCACGGTCCATTCATGGGCTCTGTCGCATCAACGTGCAAATGGGTTAAACACTATTGCCATTGACTGCTAAGCGGGGTTGTGGAATAAGATGTCAAAACTAATTGAACTATAACCGTCGCCGCACGATTGTGCCCGTGTGGAAGAATGAACGATAATAGTACTTTTCCTTGTTGGACACTGATAAAATTAGACAGAAAGTTGTTAAAGACCAACTAAATGGACAACAGCGATTCCTCGCAATTAACAAAGGCCAATGATGGATGTGATTATGGAGTGACTCGTTGGTATTCTTAGGAAACGAACAGCATATCTCTTGAAGTGTGTCTATGTAGATAAAATAGTCGTCATTTAGTGAGCGCTTTTCGAGCGAGAAAACGCTCCACTGTATTAGCAGGGTGAAGGAACAAATGTAATTTTCATAGATCCGGTTTATTTTATCACAAAACTCCCAACCGACTTTTCCTACTACTTAATAGCATCTATGACTAACTAACCTTCTGTGTCGCCATTCCCGAAATTTATCCACTTTCTTATTCCCGAGAAGTAAGAC